AGGCCTCTGTCCCCACAACAGTCTGCAGTAGGTCAGGCCACTGGATTGTGATTTGTGTTGGGGAACTTGCTTCCCCCTTGTGCCATTATTGATGTGTTATGCAAGTGCCTCAGTGACGTGCTCCACCCAGGGCAATGAGGTGCCACGAGATAGCATAAGCACCCAGAGAGCCTGACTTGCCATCGGCGACAGCTCCCCGAAAGTCCAGCCGTGCTTTCACGGGGGAGAGTGTGAATCAGTAGTTTCCTCGGGGGCCTTGTTCAGCACACCAGAACCAAGTCAGACCTCCACCCTCCAGGCCACCTGCCTTCTCACAGGTGCCGTCTGCGGGGCCGACCGGGAAGCACATGCCCAGCTGCGGGGTTCCTGGGCCTGGAAAGATGCCTGGAAAGGCCTTACTGGGCAGAGGTGCAGGGCGACCAGGGCCAGGGGAGGCCTCTCCACCACCCTTTGCCACCTGACAATGTGCTGAGTCACCCGGCTCCCCCAGACACCTGGCTTGACTCAGACCCAGTGCAGACAACGAGCCAGATGGAACCCAGCTGGGACAACTTGAGTTCTACTGCTCTGCTGCCACAGCTGCCATGGAGCCATGCCTGGTGCTAGGCTAGGAGGCACAGTGCGGGGTCCCCAAGGCACAGAAGCAGTCTCAAGGTGTTATGCGAGCACCAGCAGGCTTGGCAGAATGGCAAGCAGTAGCTTGGAGAGAGGCCATTAGAGTTCTTCCAGTCCCGGCATTCCCCCACGTGCAGGTGAGGCAAGCCCAGGTTCAGAGCTTGTGCTGCAGGGCCAGGCCTAGGCCTCACCTCTCCTTCCTGCTGCCTTCCATGCCATTCCCATTCCCGCACAGAACCTTGGGCAGGTGAGGCATGGGCAGACCTTCTGGGGCCCGCTGGTGTGGGTAAGAATCAAACTTGCAAGGACATAACCGCAGCATGATAAGGGCTGCCTGTGTGGCAGCCAGTGCCCCCAGTCCGAGGCTCATAGTGTCAGTCTAGGCCCTGAGCTCTCCAGCCTGGGGGCTCATCCCTCCATGGGAGCCTGTTCCTCCATGGGGGCCGCATCAGCACTGACTTTCCAGGCACCTTCAGGATGGCCAGAGAGGTGTTGGTGGCTGTGTTCTCACACGAGTCTTTGATCATCTTGTGAGTAATCTTCATGCTGCACACTTGCTGGTATAACAGTTAAATGAGGTGAAAGTAACTTTGAACTGAATCCAGGTGTTGATTTTTGCCAACCTTCAACCTCAGGCTAGCCCTTTGTCAGCCCTGGCTCAATCTTTATAATGTCTGTCTTCTCCAAACTCAGGAATCCCAAGACCTTCAGAGTAGGCATGACTTTGCAAAGATAGGCCTACTTTCTACGCCAACAGGCTTTTTAGAATTGAAGTGGCCAGAATTCTAGAACTATCCCACACTCTAGGCCACCCTTGTCCCTCTTTCCTGTGTTTATTTGGAGAGCATGTTGTGCACATCAAAGAAGATGTTCCTGCTGGTGGTTTTATCAAATTACTGAGCAAGAGAAGCACCGAAGAGATGCAGACATTCCTGGAAGAGATTACTTGTGGCACGCGGATCTCATCCCTTTATTTCTATTTCTGCCGACATTTTGGAGTGTCTCTTTTCTGTCGTCTCCTAGTCCTCTTTGTGACGAGGAGGGCTGCCACGGTGGCAGGTTAATCTGGAAATACAACGTAGGACAAGTGCCTTGTGAGGAAAGGGCTCTAACCAAACAGTAGTATCCTAAAGATAGCCCCAGCTGAGAGCAGAGAAGAGCAAGTCACAGACACAGTGTTGGAGGTGCCGAGACCGGCCCTGCTTCCCTGGAGGGGCTGTGGGTTATGTACAGGCTGTAATCGGTAATTTCTCACATTTGGATAGAGCTATCTTTTCCAGAGTGCTTTCACATCCACCAAAGTATCATTTTAGGCAAGTTGGCAGAGTATGAACCAAGCCCTGCAGACTTGAGGGCCACACTCCCCTGTGGGCTTTGCACAGCACAGACCCTCAGACTTGTCTGTGAGGCTGGCCCTAATGGCAAACAAAGCACCTGCCAAGGGTCACCACACAGCGTCGCACTCGGAGTCCCCACCAAAGCTCCCATCAAAGTCAGCCTGATTATTTTCCACTGCATTTTCCTGAAAGGATGTTATGATTTTCTCGATGTTTGGTGGCTGGCGATAAATCAGGCTTTTATGATGTCATGTGAAAGGCCCCCTCTCGGACTTCCTCCTGCCGCAGCCGGAGGATGAAAGTGGGCCATGTTGGTTGCGCAGTGGACACAGCTTGCCTTAACCCTTTCCTTGCCTGTCCCGTAGACCAGGGTCACGGAAGAAGACAAGCTGTTTCCCCTCAGCCTCCCTTTCACAGGAGCATAGCCAGGACCTGTGAAATGGAGCTCCTTTCTTAGAGCTAAGCAGACTTTCTCAGCAGAGAGGCTTTGGCTTCAAATCAGGATCAAAACAAGAAGGCGTGCTCCATGCAATGATATGAGAGATCTCAGGTGATGCTCTAGAAGTAATCTTTTGGAAGAGTCCCTGTTCTCTCATCATGAAACGAGAGGTTTCCTGAAAAAGGAGATGACATGCAATGCTGGCAGGGCTGTGGCGAGAGGCACACGCACACTCCACTAGGAGAACTTCTTTCCTGGCAGTGTTGATTCATGGAATGTCTTTGAAAGCAATAAAAGGTTCTCATTCAGACAAACATCCTGGGAGTTCTCTGTCAGTTCTCTTTCCCTCACCCCCACCTCCAACCCCAGGGAGGCCTTTTCTGCTCTTTCTCCAAGATCATCTCAAGTGCACCCACGCCTTTCCGTCGCCATGTCCCCACCCGACCCCTCGTGTCCAGGCCGCCATCTTCTCTCACCACATCTGTGGCTGGAGTCTCTTAGCTGGTCTCTCCCCCTGCTCTTGCCCCTCTTTCTCACCCTCAAGGCAGTATCTGCAGGCATCTTTGAACTCGTCCATCACAGCATATGCCCCAGTACTTAAAACCCCCTGTGGCTCCGAGCAAAGCCCAAACTCCATATTTGATGTGCTGGGCCAGTAAAGGATGGAGTTCAAAGTGAGTGGGTTCTTACTGTAAATGGGTGGACTTTTACACAGTGCACACGGACACAGAGACACACACCCAGAGAGAGACAGAGAGAAAGACACATACACACAAGAGTAACGTAAAAATGTTTTCAAAACTCAGGCAAGTTCCAGTGCTGTGCCTCATCCTCCTGAGAGCTACTGGGAAAGGAGAAGGCCCTTAACCAGCAAGAAGAGCTCAGGGCCACAGCTTCACTGCAGGCAGGAAGAAATGAAGGGGGCAGCAGCATCTCAGTCGGCCTCAGAGGCTGAGTGTGTCATCATTTGGCCAGAAGAGGGGCAGCCCTTTCACAGCACACCCTAGCAGGTGCTGGAGTAGCATTGCCAGGTTACTGCCTCTGGCCTCTGGTGACCCCTAGTCTCCACGTCTTTCAGGGCCAGCTGGGTGCAGTCCTGACTCTCCGCTGCAGTGGCCTGCACCTGAGTCGCCAGGTGCTTTTAGGTTAGGTGGCCCAAGCACATCAAAGAGTGGCAGATTTTCCAGGGGAGGAGGGAGTTGGGCCATGCAGGGCAAGGGCGACTCATGCACCTTCTTAAAAATACTTACACCTAATGTCAGTTATAGTCAGTTCCATACTTTGAAAAATTGGCACCAGAAAGTCAGACTTGTAAACTCCATCAAGTTGAAGTAGGAAGTGGAAGCCAGCTTTCCAACCTCCAGCCACAGCCTGCAGGCTGTAGGTGCTCCAAGGCACAGTCACTGTGACTGCACAGCAGAGCCTCGCAACCATGTGGCTTTGCTGGGAAAGGCCTGGGCTCCGTGGCAGAAACCACCAGGGAGGCCAACAGTGCCTGCCTCTGTGTCCCTCCCAGCCTCGTGGTCATGGGTTCCCCTCCCCCTCTCTCCATGCCCAGTCACAGCAGCCTTCTCTCCAGGTTCCCTTAAGGCCTTTTTACCTGCAGTGTCCCCAAGAGACCCTTACACCCCAGATCTTTCTGTGACCGGCCCCTGCACATTGTGCAGATCTCTGATCCAGTCACCTCTGAGGAAGGCCTTCCCCGCCCAGCCAGTAGAGTGCCCTCCCACCCTCCAACAGGCCAGCCCCCTCTGCAGTCGCTCCCTCACGCTCCCATCGGCCGAAACTCGCGTCTCTGCATACTTGTGCTAGAACATGGACTTCATGACAGCCACAGCCTTCTCTGGTCCATGTTTGCTTCCCCAAGGCCTAAAGCAGTAAATATGTGGCAACAAGCAAGCAAGAGCCTGTGAAATGTCTGCAGAAATTGAGGGACAGCAGAGTACAAAATCTTCTGCATTCTGTTACAGCTGTTCAGAAAATGATTATCTAAAACTAGAGGAAGGGTTGGGGTGCAGGGTAAAATTGCATGTAAGTATCAAAGAAAAACTAAAACAGCCCACCTAAAAATATTGTATCTTCATCCATGATGTTACTACAAGAAATTAAAAGAATCATTTTTCCTACATTTTAGTGATAAATAATAGCCTTGATAGAAAGCCTGTATAGGATGAATTAGAAATAGTTCTAGCTGCTTTTCCTGTGCAATTTTGAATTCTCACACAACTTTGCAAGCATTGCTGTCCCCATTTTACAGATTTAAAACCTGAATCTCAGAGGTATTAAGAAAGAGTTAAGTGGTTGAGCCACTTTATGATTCCAGGTCTCTCCAGCAATGTCTCCATGTTGGTTGTGTGTAAGAATTTTTTTTCTTTTAGAGGCAAGGTCTCATTCTGTCACCCAGGCTAGAGCACAGTGGTTCAATCATAGCTCAGTGCAGCTTTAAACGGCTTGGCTCAAGCAATCCTCCAACCTCAGCCTCCCAAGTAGCTGGAACCACAGGCAAGTGCCACTACACCCAGCTAATTTTTAAAATTATTTTGTAGAGACAGGGTCCTGCCATGTTGCCCAGGCTGGTCTCAAACTTCTGGCCTCAAGCAATCCTCCTGCCCCAGCCTTTCAAAGCACTGGGATTACAGGCATGAGCTATCACACCTGATCAAATTTTTGTTTTGAGATAAAATCTATATACTGTGAAGTGCACACATGTTGAACTGCAGTTTGATCAGTTCTGACAAATGCATGCACTCATGTAACCGACACTCCTATTCATATAAGGAGCATTTCATCACTCCAGAAAGTTCCTTGGTGAATCTTCCCAGTCAGTACTCCTCCCCTGTCCTCCAATCTCGTTTCTATAACCATGGATGCCTGTTCTAGGACCTCACATACAGCAAATCATACAATATGGACTCCTCTGTGTCAGTTTCCATCCAGCATTAAGTTGATATTTCTGTGCATTGATACCATCTATTACTTGGAGACCTCTTTGCCATTCAAATTAATGTGTGTGAAGTGTATTGCTTACAACACATACTATGGAGGGTTTTGTCCTATTGAGTGTTGCGACTGCTGGACTAGGAATCAGCAGAACCTGACCACTAGATGACTTTGTGACATTCTCAAGTACTTGACTGAAATACCTCTGCAGATGCATTTCAGTATAGGACTGTGTTCCTCTCATGAAGATATAAAGAAGAAGTGCCAGGTGACCATGTAGTATAGACACCTGACAAAAGCCCGTTAGCCTTCCTGTGATGATGGGTGGCCAAATGGGTGATAACAGAATTACGGTAAACCTAAAGAGTCGTCATCATGCTCATCTCCTCTCCATACCTCTCCAAAAACTTGCTAACAAATATCATAGTAATTGTCTTCATCTGTTCTCCAATATGAAAGTCCCCAGAGGAATGGCCAGAAAGCAAGAATCTGGATGTGGTCAGGTGTTTGACTAGGCCTTGAGTTTCTTAAGAAGTGGCTGAGGGAATGAATATTTGGAGGAACCTATGGGTATATGTTTGAAAGACCCTGTTTGAATGACCCTATTATGTTACTTATATTTGGATTGGGGAGAAGGAGGAAGGGGAGGAAGGAAGGGAGGGAGGGAGATGGATTATTGAAGTGAGGTGTGTTGCATTGGAGGACTTAATATACTGTATACATTGAGAAAAACCACAAAGGAAAAAATCCCATCTGTATTGTACTGTGTAGTACTAATGTCCAAAGCAGTGGTGGTGGTGGTATTGGGGCATTTCTAAGAGGTGGGTAGATTTCCTAACAAACTAGAAGGAAACAAGCTTAAGGAAAATTACCTTCCTCTTATGCAACTCAGGATACCCTGTGGCCTAGGTAGGCATTCCTAGATGAGAAGGTGCAGGGTAAAGATAAGCCAGATGACAATTACTTTAGCTTTTACCTCCGAGATACTTTGCTTTTGACAGAACTTTCATCTCTAGGAAAGAGGCCACCTGCGACAGATACAAAATCTCCTAAGTTGCATTTTGGATGTGATTGTTTTGTGGTTTAATTAGCTGATGTCTATAAAGCGCTTTGAGGGTAGAAAGTCCTAAGTGGCAAGAGCGCAGCGGCCTCTTGTATCCAGGGTGCCACTTGCCAGCAATGTCACAAGAGTCGCTAATCGGTCCAGTCAAAGGTGCTTTATCTCCTGTCCTCAGGGTTTTGCCACCTCGTTCCAGCATGGATAAATCTTTACACCCTAGATCCAGTTATTAACAGTAACCAGTAATTTCCAACCAAGATGGTGCTGGCTTTGAAGCCTGGAATGCTGAGGTCACTAACAATCTTATCTCCTTTTCATTAAATGGCCCCTGCATTGCAGCTGTGAGTCAGCCACTCCCCATCTCAGCTAGTCAGAGTGGAGATCAGTGAAGTAACCGGAACTAAGAGGACTCTAGTTACAGTAATTAATCTAGCTTTCCCCAGGTTGATGCTACTGTAAGCACCCGGGATCAAGAAATAAAGCTAACAAAAAATTAATTCCACGATTGCAATTATAGATGTAGAACAGATACAGACAGACACAGCACCTTGTAAATATGTATGATGCAAGATGACATCCCCAAAGTCTTATATGCTTATTTCATTTAAAGAAACCTGTTAGACACCTACCTGGGAGTAGGCAGCTCCCCAGAAGCTTCCCAGCACAGCTTCTGAGAAGTGCTTTGCTCTTCAGCTGGCTCAGACTGCTGCCTGGCTGAACAGGGAAGGCCTCAAAGTTGCACAGGGCTGGACAGGGCAGAGAGCGGGCATGTTCCTGGGCTGGGCCCCACTCAGGAGGTGGGGGGCGTGCTCCTCTGTCCCAGTCAAAGGCCAGGCAGCCAATGGGCAGGGGGACGCGGCCAGGGCAACCACCTGGTCTGGGAAAAGGAACAAGCTTTGGGGTGGCATAAACCGCATAGACCCCGTGCGGTTCATCCCATGGAGGAAAGAGGACTGACGCACTCATCTCCACACATCTCAAGCATGTCTGCTAGAAAGGTCTTTCTCCAGAATATTTTTTAAAACTTTGTTTAAAAGGAAGTTAACTTGCTTAAATCCTGTATTTCTCCTAAATAATTATGTTGTCTGTGTAGCTTATAGAGCCCTTTTTTGCCTAGCTACAGTTCTTGTTTTATGTCAACTATGTCAACCATACTTTTTAAAATATAAATGAAAATGATCCATTTATATATAGGTTGCACTACACATGCCATTAAGTTCTCCTTTCGTGAAGTGAACACCTGTAATTTTTTTTACCACCCTGTGCTTTATTGACAAGCAGGCACATAATGAAGGCCATGTTCTCATTTACTTTCCACGAAAGCTCTACTGTGCCAGCCGGACTTTGCCGCTGGTATCTGGGGCATGCATATGGATGGATGCATTTCTTTCCATTTGTTTAGTAGTGATTAACAGCTGCTGATCCCAAATGACAAAATCTACCAACTGCGATCCCATCAGAAAAGAGGGGTGCTCAGAGGATTTTAAAGTGCCCATTAGGCACCATCCAGGAGGACTGGACCGCACATCCTGAGTCATCTAAGGAGGCTCCCAGCAGAGGTGACAGTGGTGACGGTGGGAGTGCCCCGTGGTGGTTTTATTCTAAGTCTACACCATTGCTGATTGCCACACAGCGGCCTCCATAAGGGTGGCCACGGACGAGGCCATGGTGCAGGGCCTGCTCGAGCTGTTCTGCTCCCTCTGCCACTTCCTCTCCACTGCCTGCACCCTCCGCGGGCCAGTGCTGACTGACTCCATTTCCCTGAGGCTGCCTGAGCATTGTTTGAGCTCTGCCGGCATTCTGTTAGCCTCTGTTGATGGACAGTCCCACCGAGTCCGCTTCCTGAGCAGACAGGACCGCCTGCTGTTTTCTTCTCCTCTCTTATCGCCCCTGTCGTTAAAGGAGAGGTCTGACGTCCACTTCAGTTTGTGTGGATAGACAGCAGTAAGGGAACAGGGGGGAATGTTCATTACCGCTGTTAACAGCACAGCATTTCTTACTGCCCGGACATTCGCTCCCTCTTTGGGAAGGATTAAACCAAAGGATAAATTCGTGAGCGTGGAAGGCTTCAAGCTACACCCAGGAAGAGATATCGTATATTGCAAATTTTCTGGGGGAGCTTTCAGAATTCATTTTTTGTTATTTCCCAGTCTTATTCTCAACTATCTGGAATCTTGACTAGGATACTCTGTGCGGCTTGAGAGCTTTTTCCTGAGGCTTTTTGTTGTTGTTTAGCAGCTCTGTCTTTCTGAAAAAGAAACATCACCCCCAGAGTCCAGCTTTCCTATTCACTCTACACTGGCAGAAAGTTGGATCAAGAACCAAATTCATTGGCATTCTTTTATTCCCTTGGAACCTAAGCTATTCCTCAATTTTGCTTTTCTAAGAAAAGTAGAAGGGGGAAAAAAAGAATATTAAGTGCCACTCACAGCTCTGTATCTTAAATTCCTGATGACATTTCGCCAAGGCTTTCATCAGTCTCGGCTTTCCTTATTAACATCCCTGTCCATACATCTTCTCCTATTTATAGCACTCAAGAGTCAATTTCTTCCAAGAGGTACATTAGAAATTTAACAATAGTCTGCCAAAAGATCTCATACTCTTAAAATATTTCTCCACCTAAACATGTTCTTTGCAAGTCTTGTAAGCAGACCTGTTGAGGAAATGCAGCGTCCGACATCTAGTTTGAACTAAATATTAAAGTTTTCCCAAAGCAAACTCAGTGAAAAGGGGAGAAAATGAAATCAGACTGTGAACTTCAAAAAATTATCCTATGTGATACAATCTGTTTAATAGCATTCCCCACAGTGGTTTTAGAGAAAGTGGTATGGAGGTGGGAGTATCAAAGGGAATGAATGTGTTAAAGAATGATCAAAATAACATCCGGGGAAGGAATGAAAACTAACCAGTGTGATTTTAAAGCTGCGTTGTTATCTAGATGGAAGAGATCTGAGGAAAGGGACCTGTAGTTAGGGTAGACGATAATGGCACACTGTGGTCTCTCCTTTTCTGGAGTTTGCGTTAACTACTGTGGGCTCAGAAACGGGCTTAATGACTTTTCCAGCATTTGGTCTGGCTTTTTATCAGTTCACTTTAACAAGAGCATAAGCCAGGAAAGCCTAAAAAATGGCTGCAGCCAAACGTGCCCTCCTCCATGCTGCTGTTTGCAACTCCATAGAAGTACGTGTGGATGGCACAGCTAAAGGACAGCTCCCGAAGGTCAAATGAATGCACACGGTCCGTGAGTCAGAAATCTGAAGGGCCGTGTGGACCCAGACATTGCTCCTGCTGTTTTGCTGCTGTAAAATGCTCAGTGAAACCTAATTGAATTTGACAATTATAAATTACATATTGAAACCGTATAGTTCACCTAAGGAATAGCAATGAAAACAGTGAAGACACCAGAGGCCAGAGTTCAGGAAATGTCATATTCACATAGAAATACTTTAAATTTTTCTCAAAGCTTTATTTTCTCTTTTTTCAAGAAAAGCTCCAGACCACCCAGTGCACGAAGTCCTTTTTGGAAGCTGTACGTAAAATTATCACTTTAATTCGGCTTTTGTCATACTAAGGCTGTAAGCACATGTATAATGAAGGAACTGAACTGTCAAAAAAGAAGAAAAGAGCGCAGCAGATAAGCTCACTCTTCTCTCTTGTCCTGAGGAGCTGATTATACCCTAGCGGAGGAGATTTGTGGAAGTTCAAAAATCTTTAAGAGGGAGGTAAAGATTAAAGGAACACGTATCAGGGCCCACACTCCCCTCTCACTCCTCACAGTTCTGTATCTGAGCATGGCAGTTCGGACCCGTTGTATGAACACAGTATCCACCACCTGATTTCTTCTCAGCCCACAGGAAGCCTTATTTAAAGAAGGGAATCCACATCCTTGCTCTCCTTCTAGAGCTACGTGCACTCTCCCACACAGGCCCTCCCCGTGCCACCCTTTAGGTGTGTCCTGTGCCTAGAACCATGCAGAATGAACCACTGACTGTATCTTTTCTATAAATGACACCAGTGGGAAGAAATAAGAAATTCCTTCAGGAACAGTTAAGTGTAAAACAAGCTGGGATGCTCGTCATCTTTCCTTAAAAGTTGATTGGAACATAAGCTTACTGCCCAGTCCAGATGTCAGTCTAGGAGCAGCTGGCATGGAGAGCCGATGTTTTGTTCTAAGGGGACCTCATCCTCTTTCTTCCCAAGGTCTCTTGGTCTAATTAAATTTCAGGGAGACAGCGCCTTGGCAGAAGGTTAAAGGAAGCAGCTAGACTGCAGTATTGGAGCTAGGCTCAAAACTAAATTGAGAAGTTTAACTGGGTTCGTCTCTGGTTTCAATGAAATACTTTTACAGTGTATGGTAGCAATGTCTGTTTCTAAGCCTTTGAAAACCATTTTTCTTTTTCCTTAATGGTAGTTCCCTGGTTGTTTTTATATTATGAGCTCCTTGTAGAAAACTACAGGAAACATAATTACAATACAAAGCTCCATTTCCCAAGCCTACCAAGATTATTTGAAGCCAAACCGGGTTTTAGGGTTTTGCTAACTGTAAGTTCACAGCCATGAATTGCATCCTATGCCGTGCTGGTTGATTTACAGCCAGTGTGATGTGATTAAACAATAACCATGCTTCTCCACACCATCTAGCTGCTATAGGATTGAGAGCGGGGAGGGATGGGCTGCATGACTCCACATTGCACAGCGTCCTCTGGGGAAAAAGAAAGAGTATCTTTGTGTGACGCTTATAGCAAAATAGAAGCCTGTAGAAATATATACAAGTTTATTTAGGGAGGGGAAAGAAAAATAAATTACTTTGTTTTTCTGCTTATATTGCTGTTTCCTTGTAGCGCTATGTTAAATTGCTAATTACTAATTTTTGTATTCTACTTTTCCTGAAGAATCTGTATATGGACTTTTAGGGCCAGCAGAAATAACTTGTTTTAGTATCATTAACACTCTGGGGAGGAAACTGGTACTTTAGTGTATTGCGAAGTGCAAAGCGTTTGAAAAAGTCGTGATGGATGATGAGAACGAGAGGGAGAGTCGCCGTGTACTCTGCTGCAGCCCTATTTCAAGCCCGCGGGTGCAGATGTCCAGTAGGATCCAGACAGCCTCTACTCTAGAAGGCTTAGCAGAGAAGGTGAGCTCCAAACCCAGGGCAAAGCAGTCCCGCCCCTGCCCTCCCGACCTTTCCCGTCATGAATCTAGAACAAATTCCCCCGCCTGCCAAGTTTCAGGGAAGTCTGAAGAAAATCAGCAGGAAAGGCTTTCAGTGGCAGCTCGACCGTCTGTTACTTTCACACGATGAAACTCCTTTTAGGCTGTTCTTTAATTTGTATGTCGCTGCAATAGAATAATCGAGTATTTCTCTCCTACAAACATCAGCTATTGTCGTACTGCCTTCGCATTCTGTTTATTTCGAGGAATCACATCTTATGTGTTATTTGATGAGTACATTTGTGTATGGAAAAGCTAAATATTTATCTCACTTCTAACAATTATGTATCTCAAAGTCTTTTTTCTTTCTTCCCTCCTTTCCTTCCCCTCTTTCTCCTTTCCTCCTTTCCTTTCTTCCTTGTTTCCTATTTTGTAATTCATCTTGAACTCATCTCAATCTTCAGGTAAATCAGTCTTCACAGAGCTGTAACAAAGACATTGGTGAGCAGGGGCTGAGAGCAGGATTAATTTCTTCTCCACTGGTTTTGTTTTCGCCAGCCTTCCTTCCAAGGACGCCTCTTAAGTAGATGGAAATGAAATGCCCTCGTTTCCTCGAGTGGAGCAGTTGGGGAAAGCGGGAGAAGGAACGCCCTCCCAGAGGGGACACTGGCGGGCAGTGCGGGGTCCTGCAGAGCTGCTGGCTGCAGCTCCGTGCTGGATCGTGGAAGGACAAGTGGGTCGAGATCAGCATTTTCTTAGGAACAGAATCAAACCGAGTAGAATAGGGGTAGAATAGAATAGACCGTCTATAGAGTTCCTGGACGCTAAGGCTAAGTATTGCTTCGTGAAACTCCAGTTTCGTTTTATGAACGCGTGTGTGTGCGGGAGGCCATGTGAACTGACTTTACTGTGGGTACAAAAAGCCCAAAGCCACCGCCCAGGAAGATACATCCATGGCGCCTTAGAAAGAGGGTCGCACGCTCCCACCGAGACAGAGGGGTCCACGAGTCCTGGGACCTCGCGCCCCACACCCCAAGTCCCTTCCCCGCGGGGCTGCTGGCTGTGGGTAGGATGGGCGCTTGGCGCGGCCAGCCCTGCAGCGGGAGCTGAGCGCGCGGGGCACGGGCAACTGGGAGGGGCGCCTGGTGATTTACTCACTTCCCTCCTAGCCGGAGAAGTGCAGTAATTCGAAACAGTTCTCACAGTAGTGTCCCTGACAACTTAATGTAAAAAAAAATAAAAAATAAAAAATAAGCATTAAGAGTCCAAGGGACTCGTTGGGGAGAAGAGGGGTGGAGGTGGCTGGGACGAGCTGGGGATGGATCGCTGTCACCGTCCTCACGGGCCCGCACAGCACCTTCTTAACCGCGACCTAGAGATTTACGGCGCCGAGAGCCGCAACTGAACGCGCGCAGCAGGGACCGGCAGCAGGGAACGCCGGAGCCTTGTGCGCTCAGAGGGAGCGGAACGGTGGGGGTTCCGGGGGCTCGGGACCTGCTGCCCCCCGACCCACACCTGCTTCGTCTCCCCCTCTTCTTCCCTAGGACTTTCTGCAGGGCGACTGCACCAAAGCGAAACAGAAGCTGAACTGGAAGCCCCGGGTCGCTTTCGATGTGAGTATCTCTTGGGGCGCACGCCGCCCGCTGCGGGGCCCCGGGCTGCAGGGCGGCAGCTCTCAGGGTCGGGCGCCTGAGGCGCCTGCGATGCCCAAAGCCCGGAGGGCGGGGTGCGGGAGAAGTGAGGGGAGCTGGAATGAGGGACGCGGAGGCCTCTCTGGGGCGGACACCCGGGGTGGGGTGTCACCAGGAGAGGGTGGCAGAAGCTCCTCCCTCACGCCCACCCCTGTGTTGCAGGAGCTGGTGAGGGAGATGGTGCACGCCGACGTGGAGCTCATGAGGACAAACCCCAATGCCTGAGCACAGCCGCGGAGCCCGCCCGCCAGCCCGCCCTCCGGCTGCCATCCCCGCAGAGTCGCCGGTGCAGACGCACTGTGGGGATGGGGAGGGGCGTGCCAACCTGCGGGTCCCTGTGGCCCCTGCTGCCACCGCGCTGTCCCGGCCGCAGGAGCGGGCCGCCCCGCCGAGTTTTGTAGCAGCCGGGATGTGACCCTCCGGGGTTTGGGCCGCTTCGCTTTTGTCGAAGCCTCCTCTGAATGGCTTTGTGAAATCAAGATGTTTTAATCATACTCACTTTACTTGAAATTATGTTGTTAGACAACAAATTGTGGGGCCTTCAAATTGTTTTTCTCTTTTCATATTAAAAATGGTCTTTCTGTGAACTAGCATTTACAGGGTCGGTGTGGATGTTTTCTCCAAGTTATGAGCACGGCTATAAGGGTCCCCAAACAAAAACCCCACAATCCAGGCCTTTGAATGAGATCGCTGTGGTCAGGCCTTGCCCTGTTTTGAGAAAAAGCCCTTGGTGGGAGGACTCCTGCAAGGCTAAGGGGGCGGGGGTGCTCTGGGGAGCCTCCTCCTTAGTCTTCGCCTGGGACATTTCTTTCCCCTCCTGGTGACAAGTCACTCTGGAAACCTAGTTCCCGCAGAAGGGAGGAATTCACACCCTGGCTGGTCTCTGCTGACTATAATTAGAACCCAAGGGTTCGCACCACCTGAAAAGAAGTCTTGAGAAATAGAGGGGGGTCAGAAGAAGAAACTTGAAGGTAAGCAAATACTGTTGGAACATTCCATGGCAAAGCCCCCGGGTTACCTAGAGGTCTCTGAGCCTGTGCCTTTCCTTGTGGTCTAGAATCTTTCACACAGTGCTTATTTCCGCCCTCTTCTTATTAATACTAGGTCACTTTTTAAATCTAAGCTTAATGTATTCATTCAGCCATTTATGTTAAGTGCCTAATACATGCCAGACATTGTGCTTATGCACTTGAACATCAGCGTTCATCTGAAGTTATAATAAAAAGGTTTAAGGCTCAGATCTGGTTTCGTTGAGTGCATCATTTAGGTGGCCTGGGTGAGACCACAGGTGTGTGCTCCTGAGCTGTGTATGGTGTACAGCTACAGGTAGGCTGACGCACAAATGTGCAGGACACCCACAGGCAGCAAGCAGGGATTCGTGTACAGGTGTATACCTCTGCATGAAATTAACAGTATTTTGCCCTAGAACAAATTAGGTCAGGACACTTCTCCCCCTCACTCCCCTTCCAAGCAAAATAAAATAAAACTTTACAGCAAATGGAATTCCAGCCTTTGCACATGTGTGTGTGAGTGCGGGTAAACTATTTCTGAACGTCTTCACAGGCAGGTTTATGATCTGGGGGAGGACCGAGTCTCCAACGGCTGGCGCAGGAGAGAGGGCTCTTTGTGTGGCTGCCCAGTCGCTGCGAAAGCATGCTGGCCGGGCGGCCTCGCCCTCGACGGAGCAGAACTGGGGGGCCTGAGCTAGCCCACCCGCTCCTCAGAAGCTGCCCCAGGACTCGCCTTCTCTGCGCTCCCAGGCGGGATGCTGCTAATTGGAAACACATGGTTGCTGGGAGGCCAGGCCTCCGAGCCTGGGCGAGATGGTGGGCACACACACAGATACATACTCACACGGTGTCACACATCGGCTCGAACACAAACATCCATGCACATCCATTCACAAGTGCACATACACCCACAAACATGCCATCTCACAGTCACACATTCTCACAAACACTTGCACACCCAACTCCCAGACCCACTGTCACACACATCCTCCAACAAATCTCACAGAGTCACATTCCCTTTAGCCTTGACCCTGATGGGCAGGCACCCCCTCTCCTCTGACCACCGGAACCTCCCTTCCCACACCCAGGAGAGACCATGCCAGGGGCCCGCAGGCTTGCCGTGGCCCTGTTTAATTCAATGTTGCTTGTTTGGACACTTAGAAGAGATTCTAGGCAGGGGTTTATAAAACTCCAATTGAGCCATGATGTTGAATTCTACTTCTCCAAAGAGATGGCAGCATCCGTGTTTGAAGGAAACTAAAGTATTTTTGGTTGCAACCTTCTCACTGCTCCTGCACCCTGAGTAATGGAAGGAGCGGGAGTTCATTTGGCTTCCTGGTGTATGTGTTTAAAAGGAAAAAAGCAGAATAGATTTACTTCGACATTTTTTTATCTATTTCTGTGCTATGAGAGAATTTCATTTGGGCGTCCTTCAAGACAATTCTTATTACAAGGTTTCTTCTATCTTAAATCTCAATTAAATTTCAGTGAACTTATTGTTTCCTGCTCTGCCAAATTTTGGCTATTCATTTCAAATGTTATAAAACATCTTCTACCTTGTTTTTTTGAAGAAAAAACTGAGAAAGTTAAACCTTCAGTACACTCACATACCATGGCAAAGCAGTTTTGCCCGAGTTTGTGCAGGAGGTGCGTGGAACCCGGGCCTCACAGCCGCCGTCTGACCCGTAGGCCAGGGCCTGTCGCGGGCTCTCTCCGCTGCCCTTTGTCTTTAAGGAATTACGAGCGAGCTAGGCCCAGCTTAATAAACCTGTCGCACCTCTGCAGCTGTTTAGGGGCGCAGGCTCAGCCGGGCAGGCTGCGCGACCTTAAGGGAGTGCTAAAGGGCTTGGGCCGCTGGTGCAGCGCGCAAGATGGCTCCTTAGGAAGGCGGGGTCCGCTTGGCCTCGGGCGCTGGCGAGGGGCGGGTCGGCGCTGGCAAACCCTACAGGCATGGCTTTGGGTTCTTTTTCGCCCCTTTTAGTCGCCTTCGCCTACACCAACACCAACACCACGAACCTCGTGGAACCGCTGGCAGCCCGTTGGAGGGCTCCTGGCAGATGCAAGGAGTGTTATTATAACACTAATGTGTTGTTAGAGCTTGGAGCAGACAACACTTTAAACACTGACTTGAAAACAACCAGAAATGTATTGTTTACAAGTAACTTTTTAACACCCCCCCCCCCCAAGTCTCAAAGCGCCCTACCACTTTATTTGTATTTGGGAATGCCTACCGGGCGGATTCTGTTTTAAGGTGCAGCCCACACATGTCCAGGTATTTTCTACAACTTGCAGCTTTGCTTGGTACGCGGGTGGCATGGGGGGTGGGGGCAACGCCCATCTAGGTTTTACAAAATGAGTGTCCCTGTGTGTGCGTGGACGTGCCTTACAAAGAGGTCTTCACGTCCGTACATGCCACCCGCACCCTCCAGAAGTTGTGGATTGTCATCACGGGTCGCTAACACTTTTAACAAGCAGCAGCGGCAACGGGGGACAACACGGTGCTAGGAACTGGCCCGCCGTCCACAGTGTCCCTGAGAACACTCGAGGTCTAGGCCTGATCTCCAGGAGTTGGAGGAGGCGCCCCCGCCCCGTGCCGAGCGGCCCCAAGGCCCGAGGCCTCCCCGCTTACACCCCCGGTGCCCGGAGCACGTCTTCAAGGGGCCGTCGGGGTTGTAACTCGCGACTGGACCTCGGGCCGTGTTGCTATCCTCGGTCCCCGAGCCCGCCCAGGGGTCTGCACGGCCCGGGTCTGCGCTGCGGGCTTCTCCTGTGGGGCGCTGGGAGTGAGCTCTATCCCCAAAGCCCATTTCAACGTCCCAGGTATGACTACGGCAGGGGCAGGCCACCCACCCTCACCCCCTTCCTCGGCTAGAGCGCCTCTGCTAGGAGCCGACGACCGCGGCCTGACCCCAGGCCCCACCGCCCACTCCCGGCTCCCGCCCTTCCTCCACGGTCAGGGGTCACACCCAGCGGACGCCCAGTTCTCGGCTGCCCCTTTGATCTCCGAATTTGGGAGCCAGTGTGTCCGCTTGAGCGTGCACTGCCACGGGCCCTGGGACCCCTTTGCTGCGGCGGGGAGGAGCCCCGACGGCAGGTGGGAAGACCTGGCTTGCCTGCGTCCCCCGCCCCCCAGCTCCCGCGACCCGGGGCGAGGCTCTGAGCCCCTGGGCTTCCCCGCTCCGGTTTTGAGGGAGGGGCCGGGCCTTCGGGCCCGCAGACCCGCCACCGCGCGTGCGCATGCGCCGGCCGCGAGCCCCTGGGTGCAGGACTGGGCGGCTCCGGCCCGCGCACTTGTCCAGGCGCCGCGGCTTAGTGCGCCCCAACCTCCGGCTCCGGTGGAGAGCTGGGGCGGGACTGAAGCACCGTGTTCATCAAAGTATCCCCTCGCCGTCAGCAGCCCTGGCCTCGCAAACGCTCCAGTGCGCTCCGGCGCACGCAGGGACTGGCGCTGCAGCCTCCGGGCCAACGGCACGCGAGCAAAGCTGGTTGGCAAACTGGGACACGCAATAGAAGTTGGGGCTGCACCGACTCTCGCCGCTTCGGGGGAGGCATGGGCCCGGGCAGGCCTAGGAGGAAGCTGCACAGCCCGAGGCCCGGGCGGGAGTGGCGGGCCGCGGACAAGGGAATGTATATTTGGAAGGGGTCAGGACCTCGGCTGGAGTCTGGCTTTTTATGGCGAGGAAGCCGACTGGGAAGGGCCTTCTGGCGAGGCTTTCCTGTTGTGCCACTTTTCCCCGGCAGCGCCGGGCGCGGGGAACGCGGGGCTGCACCGGGGCGGGGGAGGGGGCTTTACCCGGCGGCTCCGAGGACTCCACTGTGGGGTCGGCCCCGCGGGTAGGCCCGCCCAGGAGCCGGCTGGCAGTTGCAGCGGACTGTCACGTTATGCCGCTGCCACCAAACACTTACTATAAATCACTGTCCTGCGCCTCCGGGAGGATCCGTCGAACCTGAGAGGGGGAGGGGGATGGGGGTGGGCGCGCAGGAAGCCCCACAGACACCAGGACATCAGCCCCTCGAGTTCTCTCTGGGAACTTCCAGCACCCGGGCTGTCCCTGACTGTGGGAACCACGGTGGGCCGTCTTCCTCCTAAGCTCTCCCTGGGACACCGGGCGCGCCCCCTCGCCCCTGGGTTAGCGCACACCCCTCCACGCGATGACCAGCACAGCCGCTGTGAGGCCCGGCCTTGGCCGCATGTGTCCTTTGCGAGTGATAATAATAAAAATCACTGGAATCGCAAGGAAGCCCCTGGCCCCGACTCCGCAGCCGCTGCTGTCCCGAATGCGCCGGCTGCGGAAAGACCCTGCGGCCGGCCGGATCCACGAGTGAACACCCGGCTGCAGAGCCGGGCCTACCGGACTGGCGCGGGGCTCCGGGGACAGGCCTCGCAGGGCCCTCCTGCGCACCGTCTGGAACGCCGATTTTGCCAACTTGGAGGACAATTTTTGTTTTCACTCTACCAACAGATTTTTAAAAATCCAATGGCCGCTGAAACGTGCTTCTCCCCCACCCCCGCCCCCCGTCCGGTTTGTACGTCTGTAGCCATTAACGAGCCCCGGCACAGCCTCCGGGACCAATGACCTGCTTTTATACTGAAGGAAATGCGGAGGCCTTAAGAGTTAATGGCGCTAAATGTGTTGGTTTTCCTGCTTTTTCCCCGGGGTAGGTAATGGGAGGGGGGATGTCCCTCTCTCCACCTCTTCCCTCCCCTCTCTTTCCATCTCCCTCTCCCTCTCCCCCATCTCAGGATCTAAGTCGTCCTCAAAGCTCTCCAAAAAACTCCTTCCTTTCCCAACCTTGAGTACATGGAACCACATCCCCACCCCGCTGGAGCCCCTCCCTGGAGCCTCCTCTGCCTCTCTAGGCCCTGCCTGGGGTCCCACCACTTAGGTCAGGCCAGAGGCCTCACTGCCTGGTCCTGGTTCCCGCTCTGATGCTCTGATGCTCACTTGCTGGGCTCACAAATTGCTCTCCCATGCCCACCCAAGTAGCACCAAGCTGTGTTGACTCAGGGGGTCAAGGAGCAGCCCACTGAGTCCCCTCAGTAGAAGCGGCCTGCAGTGGCAGCTACAGGAGAGGGTGGGGAGTCGAGTCCTAATGACACCCATGGGGACCAGTGGGCTTGGAGGGGCCCATGGACAGCCCAGAGAAAGAAGATGCTCTTTGGGAGAAAGGGAGGCATCCTCTGGACCGGGAAGGGGCCGGGGAGAAGCCCCACTGAGGCTTGCCAGGTCACCCTCCCAACCCCAGGCAGGGAGATTCTGAGCTGGGAGCAATTCCAGGCCCTCCCCAAGGACCACACAGACCCAGCCTCTTCTCTCTGGCTGTGTTTCCCAGTGTGAGCTCCAGCCTTCTCCAGGACAGGGCCAGGTCTATGTGCAAGGAAATTCCAGATCCTACTGCATCTCCCATAATACGCTCAATATGCTGCAAATTTGAAATCAGTGAGGGAAAAAATCAAGTAAACAACCAAAAAAATAATATAAACCAGAGGGTTTCTTTGGGGCAGGGTAAGACGGGAAAGGAGCACAACAAAGCTCTTAAATTGAGCCTTATGCTCTCGCGCTACTTTGGTTTCCAAGAAGGTGGATATGGTACATTCTGCTCAATTTTCCACTCGTAATCACGTTGAGAAGGTTGGTGGAGAAGCTGCTTTCATTTTCCTGAATGGGTTTTGGAGCTGGAATTCATTTACTTAAGTATTGTTTCTTTCCCAGCCGACTAGGACCTGGAACCTGCTGGTCAGGCTGCTGTGTGGCCACAAGTCTGTCCAGGCCTGGGTGCAAGCTCGGCATCAGGGCTGCATCCGGCCCATCCCCCAGATGGTGCAGTGGAGGGTAGGCATGCAGGCCCCGGAGCTGGGCTGGGAGTGGGGACATCCGGGAGAAACTTTGGGGCCCCACAGCCTTCTGTGGGGGCAGGAAGGGAGAAGGATGGGGAAAAGTGACAGAGACAAAGAAACAGAGACACAAAGACGCACAGAGCCTAATGGTTACGGTGGATTCCCACCAAAAAGGGGGAGATGGGTTAAAAGGGGGTGGGAAATCAAGGCCACAGAAGTTCCAGACAAGAAGATAGAGCCCCAGTTGCAAAGGAAGACATTCGGTTAAGGTGGGAGGGAAATCGTCAATAATAAAAGCTCTTTGCAGGGAACATTTTGACTTTGTTATAAGTGGAAATAGGAGATTTCAGAAAGTGGGTTTTCTGAAGCTGGCATTTAGGACCCCATGGCAAATCTCAGTGGGTTTCTCTTCCTGCCTAAGTGGACATTGTCAGAATAAATTAAACTTCCCTGTCGGGAACTCTCCTGAGCTCCCCTCTCAGATTGGTGGGGGGAAGACTCTGACACAGTCTCTTGGTCCCACACCCCAATCTCTCTGCTTGGCTGAACAATGGCTGCCCGCACACAATCATATTCTGTCCCGCCTGGCCAGCTTTATGACTTGGCCACCATCAATCTTGTCCCTAACACGACATTTGTTTATGACGGGTGGGAAGGGCTAATGGCTTCATGAACTGTCCGTGAAATGCCTATAGTGGAGAAGGCCCTGCAATACCAGGCAGGCCCAAGGAGCAGGGGACCTGAGCTAAGCTCTAAAGCAAACGGCCCCGGGGAGGGGGGGGCCTAACAAATGAGAGCCCCTCTCACAGAGCTCTTAGAGGTGGGGCAGGAGTAGAGGTAAACTGTCACTCCAACTTGCCTTGCTTTGGGTGCTGCTAACAGCGTCAGAGAACACTGGTGTGGGTGCCTGAGGCCTGATCAAGTATGGACACCTCTTGTCCCTCCCAGGCAATCTGTCCCAGCAGCCTCAACCTGCAGAGGGTTCAAAATCTCTTGGGTTTTGCACCATTAAGAACAAAACTAATGACATTCCACCTTAAAAACGGAGACCCTTCCTGCCCTATGTCCTTTACTCGCCTATCAAAGTTAGGGAGAGCCCAATAGGACTATAAGGCACTCTTGTTTCCTGACCCTTGTTTCTGACCCGCAGGAAACAGCCAGGAGCTTGCAGGCCACCAGTACAATCGAGCCTTATTCCTTTGCAAGCATCGATTATTAATGACACAAATTTTGTGGAATAATAAATTGTAAAACGCATGCTTGTTTGCACTCAGTCTGGTGAAAAAGGTCTGCTAACTACATAACCCTGGAAAATTCAGCACCGGTTCCTCCCACACGTGCAACACGCCAAATGCAAGACTGCATATGGCATGTGGCATGCTGGCATTTATGTACTCATGGCATAAATTGCTATTAAAATAAATGTGCCCATTTCTACATAAAGGACAAAATACTTATTCTCCTAAAGCTTTTTACAGAGGCTATTTTAAAAACTAGCCGATCCCCCGCCATGGATCTGGATTGCTGTCACAGCTAATTTCAAAATGTACTGGCTATTAGTTAAAGTATCAAGGAGTTCTTCTTAGAATATTTCACAGGAAAATTATCCTTATTCCTAAAACAGTACAAACCAAACTTTCAGACCTCTAAGGAATAAATTGTTCCACGTTAAATAAGGTTGGCAGGAGTTGGTTTTCTTAAATCGGATGTGAGAATCGAAAAGGTAATGTACTGGTAGTAGGAGACGTTACATAGATGTGGTTTTTAAAATCCGAATAATGAGCAGAACTTCTCTCCTTCCACTCAGCATAGCTTCTAAACTTGCACAGGCAACGAGTGCAGAAATGACTACGTCATGTATGTTTCACACAAACACCTTCTTAGACACATGTATGTTTCATGCCTAATTTTCAAACATTCGAATAGACGAGGGTAAAGCAAGTTGCTAAGCAGCTTTCCTGGAGCACGCCTGGAAACATTCTCGACCTGTGGGCCAGGGGCTCCTCGCCGACCGCAGAAACCGAAGCACCGCGCTTCACCCCATACCCGCTTCCTCTCCTGCAGCTGGGACTGGAGACCCGCAAGGAAGGACAGGGGCTGCTTGTGGCCCACTCCCAGGCAGGCCAGACTCGGAAGGGCCCCCAGCCAGGAGCAAACGGACTCTTTCCTTCTCCCAGGTCACCCCAGCAGCTCGCTCCCGCCGCTGGGAACGGTAGGGAAAGCCCGCCGAGCTCTCCAGGGCCGACCTGGGCCTGGGCCGGCGCTGACTGCGGCCGCCACCTCCTCCGGGCTGCAAAGCCGAGGCCCAAGGAGAGTGGAGAGTCGCAGGCACGTGTGGGCTCCGAACACGCTGAGCCCGCCGCTCGCCCAAGGGCTTCTGGCGTCCTTGAGGCCGAGCGACTCTCCGCACGGCCACTGCCAAGTGATTGGTGGCCTCTGCAAACCTCACACACTGCACGAGGACGCAGCCCTGCCGGGGAGGCCGCCTGGGGCCGCAGCGCTGGCCCTGGCAGGTCTGGCGCGGCCAGGCCTAGGCGGGTGGGCCGGGGGTGGTCCTGCAAACGCGCAGCTCCGGGCCCCGCGCCTGGAGGCTGCGGGCCGGCGCGGGGCGAGCTGTCACCCGTGAGCAATAAAGTGCCTCTGACCTTTCCACCCCAGCTGCGCTCCTAAACACACGTGTGTCTTCACAACAAAGGCCAGCGAGGAGGAAATGAGAGCTCGGCGGGGCCCTGCAGCGCCCGGCAGAGACGCGGGGTGAGCGGGCGGGGGGCGGGCTCCTCCGAGCGCCGCGGCCAGAGCCCCGAGGGCGCTTCTCCCCCGCCCCGTCCCCATCCCCGGCACTCCGCGCCGGCCACCCTCCCTCAGCGCGGTCTTCCTGGCACCCCGATGAACCCAGCTAAACCAACAGGGGTCTGCTTTGAATCTGTTGTCCCCAACGACTCATTTCAGGAGGAGGCCGCGGAGACCGGGGCTGATCTGGGGAGAGAGGCAGCGGGGCGGGGTGGGGAGAGGAAGGAGCTCCAAACGCAAACAGAAGCCGGGCCCGGGCCGCCGCGGGTAATTACAGCTAATTAGCTGGAGAGCGTTCCCGTCGCGAGCGGCGTCCAGGAGGCCGGCGTCGGGGCGGGCGCGACTCGGAAGGGACTGGGCCTCCGAGAAACGCCCCAGCCGGAAAGCCAAGCGTGGGCCGCGCGGGTCTCCACCCGCCAGCCCTACTCCAGAGAGTCCAACCAGACACGTCGAGAACCGCACCGTCTCCGGCCGACCTGCTCGGCCTCGGGCTGGGCCCGCCCGCCCGCGGGGACAGGGCCGGGAGTCACCTGCTGCAGCTCCCCTTCCGGGCCTCGACACCCCACTCCGGCCGCGGGCCCTTTGTCCGCCAATCCCAGCTCCTCGCTCGGCTCCCCAAAGTGGAGAAGGACACCAAACTCCTGCAGACTGCGGGGGAGTCTTCGCCGTCACCCCCTCCCCTTCTCCTGCCCCGAAAGAGGCTGTAACCCGAGGAAGCGGGAGGCAGCCCAGAGAGATTGAAACGGGGCCGTGAGGCCACCCCCAGCCGGCCTGCCCCAAAGAGACACCCGCGCCAGCGCCGCTGCGATCTTCCCCGCGATTAGGTTACGACCCTGGGGGAGGGGACCGAGCGAATCACAGGCCACGTAGAGCAGTTTTTGACTGAAATTAAAGTGTATTTATTTGCAGCAATCCTTTAACAATGATCAAATTTTGACAACAAGCAACAGCAATTACTGCTTAAGTGTTGCCTCTAGATAGGAGCGGCAGATAGCAGGAAACTGTATTATCTCCAAAACAAACTGCAACCCCCCCACGCCTGTAATCAAATCGCCATCTCCCCAAAGTCTGATTGGCAGGGCAGATCACCCTAAGATAAGGAATTTATTACATTTCCTGGGTTATTTACAAAAGGGGGAGGGCCAATCCGGATTGTCCCCTAGGTTTAACTGTAAATTAACAAGAAAAGTTGGTTTAAAAAGAAACCACCCTAGACCAAAGTGTTCCGCTCCTCTCGCCTTCCTTCTTGTTATTGCTTTAAATCTTTTTCAAAAATAATTGTTCTACAAACATATTTTCTAAAATAGTTTCCCAAAGATTAAATATCCCTTTCCAACCCGCAGTATATTTTTAAAAAAGCAATCCTTCTATGTAATACATGAAGGATTGTAAATGGGGGAGAATTATATACATACATTTAAAAACTAGTTTATGTTTCCTTTTATAAAGGACTGAAATTAACAGGAAAAAATCTATTCAGCATCTGGCTCACAGGGATGTGTAATTTGCATTGCAATTTTATATGGAATACACAAGCCAAATATTTGTGCATATCTGGCCGCACAGTCCCATCTCTGGGCACACAGGTATCACCGTGGTAAGACCGCGGCTGATTCATGGGCCTAAAATTTCCGAATCCTGGTCTGTCATTAGTGAGAAAACGTATTTGTTTATATGCCAACTCCAATCTGTTTAGAAAAATATCTTTTTACTAGCCTCAAAGCAAGCTGACTATATAGCACATTTTGCAGAAGATGCTGCAGGAGAATAATTCTAAACAAAAAGACTTTCAGTAAAATTTGACACGGACTAGTCAGAGGGTTTCTCCATTTTTCAGAGATTTAGGTGGAGAATAGATAACTTCTAGTGTTTTCTCTCTGAAATCTTTTTTCGTAATAATTAAAGCTCTATTAAAGTATCCAGACATATAGGTCTCATTCAAACTGAATGGTAATTTATTAATAAACAATGAATATGTTCAACAAAAAGAAAGAAAAGAGGATAGAATAAGATTAATACAGTTTCCCTTTTTATAATGAGAAAAAAAGCACAATTTAAAGTTTCAGGCAATTTAACGTCAGGTTTTGGAAACACTTTCTGGCGTTTGGTCCACGACATCCAACTACAAATTAAAAATAAATTACTATGTTGCAATTTACATTTTAAAACAAGTCCATGAATAAAAAGAAAGCGACTTTCATAAACGGGGACTTTCCCCTCCCTTCAACATAGGATAAAATAATATCTTACAGGTGAGAGGCAAGGAAGAAGGCAAGAGAGGGGAGACGGGGGGAAGGGAAAGCAGGTCTCTGAAAAGCGAGAAGAAACTTACGTGTTATCTGGAGTAACACTGTCCTTTAATAAACCATGATTTTGCTGTCTCTGTACAAAACAGTTTACAGGTTTGTTTATTTAGATAAGGCAAAGTGGAGGTGGCTCTGAATTAATCTGTTAAGAAAATAGAGTTTTCTTCGTGCTGGTGCTGGTGAGCTGAATTTTTGGAGGGATATTCTGTTCGCTGGTGTGGTGAATATTCTCAAGGTTTTGTTTTCTTTTGTTTTTTAATTGGATTTTTTTTTTTTTAGTTTCGATTTTGCCTTGATGGGTTCCTTTGGCTTTTCCTGCTTTGGGGTTCGATTCAGTTCGGCTTTGAGAGGGTGTCAGAACTTGCTAACAGTCATAGACGAAAGCTCCGGACGTGCGGTACAGAGACTGGCTGGAAGGGAAGGCCATTTGACAGCTACTATTCCCGTTCACTGGAGAGTTGTTCAAGCCGATCCTCTGCGACTCGAACATCTCCCGCACCGAGTGGAAGTTCTGCTGCTGGCCCGGGTAGCCTGCGGCCGCCGCCGCCGCCGCCGCGCTCGCCAAGTGGCCCAGGTCTCCGCCTGCCTGGTTCAGGTACCACGAGGTGAGGCGGCCCTGGTGGGCCGCAGGGTGGTGGCCGGCCTCCTGGCCTCCCCCGCCGCCGCCACCGCCGTGACTCAGGGACGACGAGCTGCTGCTGGTGACCGGAGGCAGAGAGTAGTCGGGCAGGGGGTCGTCCACTGCCGAGCCGCCCGCGCCCCCGGGCGCGCCCTGCAAGTGGCCCCCGCGCTCGCCGGCCGCGTACAGGCTCATGGCCTGCAGGTTGCAGTGGTAGGTCCCGGCGCCGCCCGCAGCCCCCGCGCCCCCCGCGCCGCCGCCGCCGCCGCCGCCCGAGCTGCCCGCGCTGGAGCTCTGGCTGCAGGGGGAGCTGTAGAGGGAGCTCTGACCCGGAGAGTAGGCGCCGAGCGCCAGCGGGGGTGCGATCCCTGCGCGCGAGGACGCTGCAGCCGAAGCCAGAAGGCCGGAGCCGAGCTCCGCTGCCGCGCTCTGCGGCGACCCCCGCAGCGACGTCATGATGTTGTCCACGCTGAAGCCCTGGCTATGGTGCGGCGGCGGAGGCGCGGAGGGCGCGGGCGGCGGCGGCGCGGAATCCGCACCGTCCAGGCTGAGCGGCCGCGCCGAAGGCAGGCTGCCCGGGGGGCTACTCCCGCTGGACAGGCTGCTGCTGCTGCTGTCGGGGCTCTCGATCTTGGGCACCGTGGCGGCGCTGCCGCTGCCCAGGGCGGCGGCCGGGGACAGGGGCTGGGGCGGCGAGGGGCACGTACCGTTCTCGGTCTTGATGTCCTGGATGCGCACGGGCGGCGGCTGCGGGCCGGGCGCGTTGCCGTCGGCCTGCTCGGGCGGCGCGGGCGGGGGCTGGCGGCCGGGCGGGGGCGGCTCCTTGAGGTGCAGCCTGTCCTTCTCCTCCTTGTCCTTCACCGCGTCCTTCTTCTTGAAGCGCCGCCGCCGCCGCAGGAAGCTGCCGTTCTCGAACATGTTGTAGGAGTCCGGATCCAGCGTCCAGTAGCTGCCCTTGCCCGGCTTCTTGTCGTCGCGCGGCACCTTGACGAAGCACTCGTTGAGCGAGAGGTTGTGGCGGATGCTGTTCTGCCAGCCCTGCTTGTTGTCCCGGTAGAAGGGGAAGCGGTCCATGATGAACTGGTAGATGCCGTTCAGGGTGATCTTCTTGTCCGGGGCGTTCTGGATGGCCATGGTGATGAGCGCGATGTAGCTATAGGGCGGCTTCACCATGTCCTTGGGCTGCGGCTGTGGCGTGTAGGGCCCGTAGGCGCGGGCCATGCCGCCCGGGTACTGCTCGGCGTGCGCAGGGTGCGAGTACACGCTCATGGGGGCCGGCATGGCGGTGTAGCCGCCCCCGGCCGCCGCGGCCGCCGCGCGGTAGTAGCTCTGCTCGCCGCCGAGGTAGGGCACCACTCCCAGGGAGTTGGGGCTGGACACCGAGTAGCGCGCCTGCATGGCCCCCGCTCGCCGCCGCCCCGCGCGCCGCCGCCCCACCTCGCTGCCGGCCTGCGCCGCGCCGGCGCCGGTCGAGTCGGCCCGGCCGAGCTGGTGCCGGCCCGCTGCGCTGTGCGTCCGGCTGCGCTGCCGCCTCTCCCGGCGCTCGCTGGGGCTGGCTCCTCCGGCGCCTCGGGCTACCTCGGGGCCCGCGCGGCCGCGAGGCGGGGTCGCTGCGAGGGGAGAAGGCCGGGCCGGGCCGCGGCAGACCGCCTTGCAGGAACTCGCGGCGCAGCGTCCAGGCGCAAACGGGGAAAAGCAGACAAAAAGAAAGAACAAGCAGGCGCCCTTCTCGCCACACCGCCTGCGCCTTCCAGGAGACTCTGCCCCGAGCTGCCGGCGAAGGCGGCCAAATAACCAGGGCGGGGGGGGCCGCGCGCCGGCCGCCTGCCCGGGCCCCGCGTCACCTTTTCTCGGTCTCTCGCGCGCCAACCGCTTAAGGAAGCATTGGGAAAACTTCTGAACTTTTGAGCATCCGTCACCCAGGCGAGGACTTTTTTACGCAGTTACACTTTTTTCCGGGCAGCGGGGCCCCGCCCCGCCAGCGGCGGCAGCCAATGGGAGGTGAGAACCGCCTCTGAATGAGCAGGAGGCCGAGCCCTGCCGCCCCGCTCCCGGAGGCCGGAGGACCGCGGGGCTGACCACACGCGCGCCGGCCGCCCTGGCCCGGGCCCCGGCCCTGCGCCCGCGCCGGCGCCCGGCCCGCCGTCGGTTCGCCCCCCGCAGTCCACCTGCCCGCCGCCGGCGCCCGGCAGACCTCCCACCCTGGGCCCTGCGGACCCACGCCCGCTCTTCGCGCAGACTTCCTGGGTCCTCCCGGGCCCCGTGCAGACCCTTCCTCCGTCCACCGCTCCCGAATGGCCCTGGCGTCTCCGCCCCGCCTCGCGCTGGCTCGCTCCATTCCTTCGCCCGCCCCGCCGACGCCAGCCCGGGGGTCGCCCCGGCCTCTCCTCCCCGCCGCCTCTCCTCTCCCGCAGCCCCTTCCCTCCCTTCTCCAACGTCAGTCTCACTCGGGTCTTTGACGTCTCCGGCTTTTCTCCACTTGGAGGTTCTCCTGTCCTGAACTCGGCTACGAAGGACATGATTTTGAGGGCTCGGTCACAGCCAGGCCCTGTTCGCGGTGGGGAAGAAGACTTGTTGCCCATCTGGCCCCCCTCCATGACCCCTCCCCAGTCGAAATTAAGGCAAGGGGTGCGGGGCCCTGCTGGGAGTTTCCGACGGCCGTTCACCCGCGAAGGATGAGCCTGCCCCACTGCGGGCCGCCCTGCTTCTCTCCCCCCTCCCCGGGGGGCCCTTGGCGGCCTGAGGGTGCGGGCGGCAAGGGCTGCAGGAGCACGGCTGCTTCCCCGCGCGCCCCTGCTCTCCCGCGAGGGTCCCGCCGCCTCGCCGCGCCGCCGCCCCCTCTGATTGCGTCAGGCGCATTTCGGCTGAGATGAGGGGTCAGGCTGCGGGCTCGGCGACATTAGCAGGTGTGATGACAAGAAACAAATATGTCTAAGAGCTTAACGCTTCCCCAGGCCAGTCTCCATCTCCACATGCGCGGGGCTGCCGGCTCGCAGACATAACGGGTGTGTCTGGGAGAACGCACAGGATCGCACCTGGAGGGCGGTTCAAGGATTCTGGGGGGATACGCACAGAAGGGCCCCCGCTTCTTGTGCACAGGCCTGAGATTTGCCGTCGCTGGGTGGTTGGAATGGGACAGGAAGAAGAGAAACGAGGGAAAGAAACGAAGGACCGGGAAAGAGCCAGGCCTCCCCCGCGACCCCGGCACGGCGATTCTGCATTTTAGCGACTTTAGGAGAGACCCTCCCGGAGGCTGAATCCCAAGTTGTTCACTAGAAGCTGGGGGAAGTGGCGAGTTCAGGAGACTGCAAAGAAGCGTGCGTGACGCATTTAACAGCTCCGCTCCCCATGATTTCCGACCATCTGTTAACTCCAAGGACATGTTCGGGGCCCCTTTTGTCTCCCCTGTTCGAATCCCGGCTTCCTCACGTTGGCAGGAAAATTCAAATTGCAGCTTCGGCTGTTACATGTGAAGGATGCTGACGTGTAGCAGGCGCATCTCCGTGTCACCTGAACGTTTAAAAATTACTGTTTCATAATGGACATTGACATCGAAGGAAAGAGGACCTGCCTCTTCTGCAAGGAAAGAGGACCCTCCTTTGGAGGAGGGAGGGTTGCCCCGAGGTTGCTCTGAATCCCGGGGCAGCTGCCTCCTGGCCTGCTGTGCGCCGGGGTCTCTGGAGACTCCTTTTCCAGGTGGTTTGCAGGCCAAATCACTGGTGGGTGGGAGAAGCACCAACAGGAGGCTCAGTACTTGCTGGTTGCCAAGGACACTAGACAGGGGCGAGGGTGGTGGTGAAGCCCCACGACTTGAACACTTAATTCGTGTTCAGCCCCCAGCCCGGCACCCTGAAGGTCTTATCAGCGTACTTGGTCGAGGCTTTAAGCAGTGCTCTGGTTTCAGCCTGGAGGAGATTTAAGTGGTCTCCCTGAACACCTCAAGAAGTGGTGAATTCGGTCTTTAAGCTGCTTTTTGCACGGCTAGCGGTGCGCGGAGATGAACGCAGCGATTACGGATGCTTTGTTTTCCGAATGCGGGAAACGCCTTCGGCCCCGAGTTTTGCAACAGGCAATTGTGCCCCGCCGCCCCCTCCCCCACCAGCCTGTCGCCTCCTGCTCTTCCCTGCCTCCTCCCTCCATCGGCCCAGTGAAGTGTAAACAGCTTGTTATGTAAATTGCAAATCGAACTGCAGCGGTGTTCTCAGCTCTCTGTTTTGGGTATAAAAGTTGCCGTTGTGAAATTAGTATCTGGCATGCGAAAAAAAATGGAGGGATGTGGTTTTATCAAGATCAACTTTCCACTGGTTTAGCTCTGGATATTCGCCAAGAAAAGATATTTGCATTTGTGTTTTATAAACTTACTCCGAAGCAAGCCTCCAGTAAGCGACTTGATTGTATTTCAAGCACTTATTTCATTTTTGTTGTTAGTGGTGTTATTTGAACATTAACACGCACACATGAAGTCTTTGGGGGAACAGGTTAAAGTTTTTATTTTCAGGTTACAGTTTTTGATGCCCCTTTCTGCTACTCCACGGGCTACTTCAATCATGCTCTTCCGCACATCTCTTGACTCATTTGGCAAAAGAGCCCCCACAGGAACCCTGCGGCTTCTTTTCTGACACCTCACGTACTTGCAGCCTGAAGGCCCCGCAGGCGACAGCGGTAATGGATGTTTGGTGGAACCCTCCCTCGGCCCACACTCCGCCCCTCCCCAGCAGGCCGGGCAACAATTCCCAGGACCCACCCAGGGGTGCTCAGCTCGGAGGAGGGGGAGTGACGTCACAGCGATGTTCAAAACAGTCTCCCCCGGCCCCACCATAGAAAAGCACCAGGAAGGGGAATGTGGCGAGCACTCCAGGAAATGCTCGGATTGGGGACCAGGTGACACTGTAGGAATGTGTGTGCTGGGGGATGGGATGGTGTCCTAAATACGGGTCACCAGGAGCCAAAAGGCGCTCTCTTTCTTTTTCTTTTTCAAGTAAAGTAGAGGGAGTGGAGATTGGGATGGGGGCAGTCCCGAAAAATCACTCCGTAGGGGTGTGAGCTCGGGGTGTGAGCTCGGCTCTTGTAGTGCGGACTGTCCCCGACACAGCCCAGTCACCTCTGAGGTGTGCCTAGACGCCCTCTCCCTTACCTCCCCGCTTTCTGGCTTCTCCATCCTCTGGGCTCTGGGTTCAGCCCTGAAAGCTGGACTGTGGGCTGGAGTGGGGAGGCGAGGGCAGGTAGGATACCAGCTTCAGGGGGGGCTCCACCTGGCCCAGGACCTGGGGGACAACAGAAAAGGCAGGCTTAGAACATGAGGGAAAGCGCTTCTCTTGCTCCACTCGGGTCAGTGATTCCTGGGGGCTCTGCACACACAGGAGGGAGGCTGCAAGTCCACAGCTGCCTCAGCATCTTTCCCTTTGCTGGGGGAGACAAAGTGGAAGATTAAGGCAATTAACCTCAGAAGGCCACTAGAAAACTGCCCACTGGGCTGCCATCACAGACCACTGGAGCAAGGTCTGCTTGGGGGTGTCTTTGAGCTATTTAGACTACTTAGATAATTGTCTTAGTTCTCCACTTGGCCTCCTTTGCTTAGACCAGAAGCCCAAGGGTAGGGGAGGATATCCTGGTATCAGTGCCCGGTATTCGTTTTCAAACCACCAGGCCAGCAGGCAACGTTTGTCATCGGTGCGACTTTTCAGCGGAGGAAGGAGTGGGGACCGAACATCTGTGTGGCCGCGACCTTGGGTAGATACTCCTTAGCTAGGGGATTTTCAAGTAGAGGTTTTGTTAGCACAGTCCCTCCAATTCAGCCTTAGTAGAAAAATAACTTCTACAATAAACGAAAAGAGCGTTTGGTTTTCGATTGTTTTAAAGACAAAGTGATCCATATTGCCTGTCTACATGATTGGATTAATCCGATAGTTGCCCTCCTAGGGGCAGACCTCCACGGGAAATTTGTGTGACGGGATAATTTAATGTCATCTCCTAACTCCCCTAGATGGGCGGTTCCCCTATTTACTCACCCAGGAGAAAGTCAGCCAACACCTGCTCGTTCCCGCCTCGGGATGGCCCACCTGTCGCCCCTTTGCAGAAAAGCCCCCGCCTCGAAGGGCGTTTCGGGGGCTCAGAGCCGAGCTAAGCTGCAAGAAGGGGCCGTAGGGAATGCGGGAAATGAATCTTTAACTTTGGTGCCCGGCTTCAAAAGACTCAGGGCTGCCTGTGTTCAGGCAGAGGTAAATGGAGATTCAAACTGTCACCTTGCATTAACAATCCGGAATAAAAATAAAATTTGTAAAGGGATAGATGATCGGAAAGACCAAATGGTGCGTGTGTGCACGCACGAGCTCCAGTTTCTCCCCATCCAGGTCCCCAGCGGACCCAGAGCGGCCGCCGCACTCCACGGCCTGGGAGGGCAGAGGCCCCGCAGCCTCCCAACCTCGTCTCCTGTGGGGCGGAGTGGGCGGGGGGCCGCACAGGGCGGGCGAGTCCCCAGGTCCCAGAATCTGCCAGAGCCAGGGTGCGCGGTGCAGGGTGCGGCGGGCGCCGGCCGTCGGAGGACTGCAGGGCGAAAGCGCCTTCCTGGGGCTGGAGCGGAAGGCGTGTGCGCCTGCATGGACGCGCCTTGGCTACGGGTGTCGGAAGACAGGGCTTTGCTCCGTGAGACAGACCCACAGACAGCTCCGGAGCCGCCGGCGTGGTGAGGTGGGCTGCAACCTTGCAGGTGGCGGGCTGTTCCCGGGTCTCCGGCCCCGCGCCGCAGCGGACCCAGGCGCCCGGGCTGCCGCCAGCCTTCCTTCCGAGGGCTCCCTTGGCAGAGCCCTGCGCCCTGGGACCTTCCTTCCGAAGTCCCTCACCCCGGTCCGGGCGTGGCACCACGCGGACGCACCGCCGGGCCTGCTGCGGGTAAGGCGCGCTCGGGCCCCCCGCCCCCACTCTGAACCTTTGGGCAGCAGCCCCAGGGCCCTGGGCCGGGCCGGCGTTTGCACCTCGCAGGGCAGGGACAAGGCCGGTACCTGGCTCGGTGCCGCTGGCCTCCCCTGAGGGCCTGAGGGCCGACGCCGCCGGGGACTGCCGGTCCTCGCGAGTGGGTGGGCGCCCGGACGCGTGCACTGGTGACCCGGTGGTCTCTGCTCCCAGGCCGCCCTCCGCAGGCTCCCCGCCGCTTCCCCGCATGCATAGGAAGAAGAAGGGCCGATGTGGACGCCCGGAGGCCGCTTGGTCCACCCAGACGGGTGCTCTCAGGCTGGGGGACCAGACCCCGGCAGGTCCCGCGCGGGGGAACCCGGGGCCACGCAGCCGTGCTGGGCGCCCGCACCGGGCACTGCGCGTGCTACGAGCGCCCCCTGCCGTCAGAGGCGTAGTCTCCGCGGCGCCTCTGCCCGCGCCGGGCCCCGAAGGCCGGCTCAGCCCATCCGTCCCGCCACAGCGTCCCTTGGGAACCCGGTCTCTAGAGAAGGAGGCTTGGGGAAGACCACGCCGCCGGTGTAGGACCCCGCAGGGCCTGGCACCTGGCTTTCCTAGGCTGCAACTCTCGTCCCTCAGGGTCCAGGCGGGAATAGCCCCATCGGGGAGACCATCTCACACTGCCAGGCACAGACCACAGATGCTTTTGTTCCTGGACTGGAGGGAGGTGACCTGAGACTGGAGCTTTCAGCCACCACTACGCATTCCTTCCAGGCCGCCCTTTTAATTGATGTACACGTTACAGAAAAAGCAAGGCCGCTCCATCAAGTGAATTACATTGTGGGAGATGCCAAGGAATGTATTTACTGGCAGCCAGGTTTGCCAATAAAAGTTGCAAATAAAGACTGCTGGTTTCCAGGAAAATGTACTTCTGTTTTTTAAGCACTCCGTAGTCTTAATTACCAAAAACTGAGCCTCCAAAGAACCGGTTTCGAGAACAGGACCAGTGAGTGGCGGTGCTGACTAGGTCTCACACTCCCACGTGCAATTACGCACCCCGAAGCCACCTATAGGAACAAGGACCATGCATCTCTATGGCTTTGCCCGCAGAGAGGCTTGTCCGTATTTACATACGCAGCAGACACAGACACAGGCTAAACGCTGGCACACAGAGAGGTATGCATTCGGATTAGCGCTGTTTAGTTTGGAAGTGAAAAAATGTTTGTCTTAAACTATGGCAAATAGGCGAATTTCCACAGAAATAAATGTATGCGAGGAAAGGAGGCACTTGCTCTGTAGTGTTTAGTTGTGGTTGCCCTGGTAGTTCTTTTTAGTCCAGCTGAGTTGACTATAAATGAAGGCAGCAGAGAAATGCAGAATTTACTTTTGCTAAAGGTTAGCTTTGGCTTGGGGTCACAAGGACCCCAGTGGGAATGAGAAAATCTCCCCACTCACTAGATGGAGCAGCACCTCCCCCCAACAAAAAAAGGGGGTTTGGGGCGGAGTGTGCACACTAATGAGAGGCAGATTTATTCCATGTTTCTCCAATCTTAAACACGGACACTAACAACCACAATTACAAGGACAGGTAAGATGCACTGAACACTTAGTATGCGGTCATCCTGCTGCATGGTTTAAATACTCCTTTCACGTAATCCTCACAAGGACGCTGACATGGATACTATGATCTACATCGTATACATGAGGAAACTGAGCTTAAAGAGAAGAAAGAGCTTGCCCAAGGTTACACAGCCCTCGCGATGGCACTCTGCGCGGGCTCGCGGGATCTAAGATGCCATTTATGATAAGGTACAGTGCTTATCAGCCACTAAGAGGGGAAAAACTAAATTATTAAATATCATCAGTGGTAAATGTCGTCTCTGTTTCAGTTGCTAAAATGTAAACAGAAAAATGTGCATTTCAGATCAATGATACATTTACTAATCCATGTAATCAACAAACACATAGAGGCCTGCTCCGTGTTTGGCCTTCTTCTAGCAGCTAGGTGTATAACGGAACACCCTTTGCTAAATACTAACTATCATGGGAAGGATGCTTACCCACAGCAACCCTTGAATCTATTATATATGTGTACACATACTGACTTGCATTGGTCTGGTTCATCTGCACACTTCTATACTATTCTAGAGATGCTCACACCAGTGCTATGAGGAGAAACTGGTATAAGGGCAAGCACAGAAAAAATGGTATATATTTGGACACAGACATTCTGTATACGTGAATAAAGGACCTGCTGGTGAATGCATTTTTCTCTCCTCCTGGATGCTATCTGGTGGCTTCTCTCCTGCTTTTCCCTCCATTTAGTTTCCCCAAGGAAGATTCTCCAGAAAACACAGCAAATAAAGCAGAGAAGCTCTTTTCCACCCCTGCCTCAATGGTAGGCCCGCCCTTACCCACAGCTCCAGACAGATGGGCAGGCAGGCAGGCCAGGAGCCTCAGGACACTGAGGAAGCAGGAACACTTCCTCTCGGACCCATGGCAGAAGTCAGCCAGAGGAGGCTGGAGGAGGGACAGGCAGCAGGAGGTGGGCTTCAGGTTGTAGCTCACCTCCAGGACACCATGGGGGACTGTCCAGAAGTCACCAAAGTCACCAAAGTCAAGCCCTTGGAATCATAGAGAGGGAAACTGAGGCTCTCAGAAGAGAGCTGGCCCAAGATCAGGAGGGCTCCTACCCAGGACTTGTAGTCTTGTGTGGCCTGCCCCCAGCAAATGCCCAGGCACCTCCGCCTTCAGTCCCACCAAGGCCTAGCGACTGATGCAGCTGTTGTCTTTGGCCAGGTGGGCCTTGAGGGTCAGGATTGAGGTCGAAGCAAGTAAAAGGGGAGAGTGGGTGGCAGGGAAGATGAATGAAGGGCGGAGGGTGGCAGGGCCTTTTTCCTTTTCCAGGAATTCCTCCCTTGCCCAACACAAGCTTGGCTTGGGTCTGGACGATTGACCCAAAGACCAACCTTGGGGGAGAGAGAGAATCCCGGACGCAGAGCCAGAGGAGGCCCAAGACCTCAGTCTCTGGAGGTGTTTGGCCACCAAGGGGTGCGCGGGGCAGCAGGGGCTCTACTCTCCTGGGGTCCGGCCCGTCACAGGGGTGCCCAGGGCCTCTCTGTGCCCTCTTCCCTGCAGAAGACGGGGAAGCCCAGTCCTGGCGGAGTGGGGCACGGGGCACCGCGGCCCAGACCCTTGGGGAGCGCCCGGCCCTGCCGGCCGCAGCGACAGTCTGGGGCGGCCCTGCTTCTCCTCAAGACCTGCCGATGGGTCGGGGCGCCTGGTCTCCCGGTGTCTCCCCCTCGTGCGCAGGAAGGTGCTTTTAAAGGCCGGCCGCCGGCGCACAAGCTCGAACTCTGCAGCCGCGCCGGCCTGTGTTTAGTCTGGCGCTGACGTCCTTCCTGAGCAGATGGTAAGAGGAAGCCTTCTCCAGGCCGTTCCTGCCGTCGCCCACCCGGCCCATCCATCATTTTCTCACCTACTGGCCCCAGGACCGCCAAGTCCTCACTGAGAACTCGGCAGAAAGTCCGGGCCAGGTCGCAGACCCCGCCACCTCGCCCGTGTGAGAGCCTTTCCTTCTTCCTTTAGCACAAAAACTTCCATTATTGCATATCCCTGTGATGAAACACGCACCAGATTAGATAAGGTTGAATTGCACTTTTATAGGGTGCCAGTATCGTCCATGAGACACTCTCCTTTTATTCGTGAGATTGTGCGCTTACAAGCATGGTTTGCTTGAGTAGTTATTACTGTCCTCAGACAGACAACATCTACCCACAGGGCGACTTCCTAGGCAAGGACTGCGGGCTGCCCAGACGGGGGAGATTAGTTACTTGCTGAGAAAGAGCAAGTTACTAAAAGTTGCTGACATCTGGGGCCTGGCCCAGTCAGCCAGTAGCACTGTTTTGCTTTTGTGTGTGGCAATTCTGCATGGCGCCCGGTGCCATCCTAAGAAACGCACCCTGGGAGTTTTCATTGTTTGCCTTTGTGAGCATTTGCTATTAAAGGTGATGTGTTAGGCGTATTTGTTTTAGTGAGGAACGCATCCAGAGGCGGGCAGGCGTGTCACTGGGAGAATGTTTTGGCAGGAGTGGGGCAGGGGTTTTACATAATAGGAAAACAGATGCAGCTCCACCCTTCCAACATCAAGGCAAACACATCCACGCATTTTGTTTAATATCAGTCGCATTGTCTACTGTCTGCTGGAAGTAGGTTAGTTTTCTAGTAAACACCACTCTTACTGCTGCCAACTGTTTTTTCTGGAATGGGCTCAGCCTCACCCAGGTCCTCCTGCTTTGTTAATTTCAGGTTGTCTTTGGATATTTTAAAAGAGAGAGCTAATGCATGACAATAATATTTCCATATATATATGCAAATATCTATATCTATATATGTATATATATGTGTATATATAGAGAGAGTCTTACTCTGCGGCCCGGGCTGGAGTGTAGTGGAGGGATCCTTTTGCTTCTAATACAAATTTGAGAAAACTATACCTCGTATTTCTCTTTCTCCTTAGCTGGGCAAATTTTGCATTTCCCTTGATTATGCATTAAACGGAGTAAAATCAGTTTTTCTTATTCTTTTCTTCTTCTTGCTGGTTTGTACATCAGCTTTCCTGCTGATATCTCTACAGCTCTGCCGATTTCAAGGAGATTCATTTATCAGATGGTGTTGACAGTCTGCTGTAAATCTCATAAAAGGAGAGTCGGGCTTTATTTTCTGGCTGTGCCAGACATTTTCCAATTATTTAGAACCCAGAAGGCATCCCCGACTAGATCAGAGTAATATGAAATACAGGTCAAGTGCTGGATTCAAAGTCCTTGGCAATGTCCCTTTAAAAACAAATTTCTCTGATATGCCCAGATCTAGGTTTCCAATATTAGTGTAACTTTCAGTTTTATCCACCAGACAAGCAAATATTGTAAGTGTCTACATTTGGGGCAAGAGGAAAATGATGGATGCATAATCTTTTTCTCTTAGGAAGAGTTTCTGGAATTTTGAGTTCACTCTGGTGTGTACCTGGATGGTCTCAATTCGTCCTCCCCCAGGTGCCCCCCATTGCTGGCCATTTAATATGCATAATTTTTAAAGTTTGACATTAGTTGGATGTGCAGGGATAGAAGACAGAATGGGGGTGGCATCAGAAAAGAGATCAGAGGTCCAGAACTGTGAAGAAAGAGTGTGAAGAGCCTTTTACTGCGAGCGACCACGTTCTCTGAGGAAGCACGAGGACTATGGTGTAAATTCCCTTATATTTGGAAGGGCTCATTGATGACCATAGGGTGCAAACTGTGTGAAAGGGAGGGACGTCGCAGGAAAGCCCCCTCCCCCTGGTTGGTGATGCCTCTGAAATCCCCCGGGGATGGCCGTGCACGATGGGCATCCCTTGTCGTCTGCTGGCTGGATTGCAGTCCTTTTGGCTGCAGGGTGAGATGACTCCTTTTTCTGTCTTTTCTGTTTTAAAAGATACAGGACCTCTCTGAAATTTCAGTGCTGATTGCTTTGATGTCATCGTTTCCTTCATTAGAGACACTGGGCCCTGGGGGGAAGGGACAGAGGGAGGAGGTGGGTTAGAGAAGGCCCCTCTGGTGAAGAGAGCAGGGGAAACCCACACCCACTGGCTTCCAGAACTTGGAAAGAGGTGGGGGGCGGTCCCAGGATTTGAGCTTCTCAGCCAGCTCCTCCGTTCTAGGGGCAGCTGCTTCCTTTCCTCGGGTGCAGAGAAGACTGGGCCGGCTCGGGAGCTCCAGCAGAGGAGGCACTCAGGTGTGGGGCCAGCGCTGGGGCTCGCTTCTCCGCTGGAGCGTGGGTGTCGAGTGTGGGTGTTCACCCTGAATATTTTCCATCTCTCTGCGGAGCTCTACCTCTGCCTGGTCCAATTTCTGCCCACATTCCGTATACGCCATGAAAGGCCGTTTTTCTTTTTGAAGCAAATCCAAAATAATACACATGATGAAGTGCAGGCAGGATGCCTGTGGAAAAAAGAACTTCTCCAATTATTTCAGTGGAACGAAATAGTTGGGCTCTCCAAGCAAAATCTGACTGAGAAATCTGACCTTCCTGCATTTAAGGCTGAGGAGGTCCGGGGTACACAGCCTGTTCACCAGCAGCTATAGGTTAGACCAGGCATTGCAAGGCCCTGCCGGTCAATCAGGCCCGGGGCACGACAGGCTTAGGAGTGCCTCGGTTTATTTTTTCTCAAAGGAATGAATCATATCTATCTCTTATAACTTAAACGTTTGAGCTGTCTTTTAAGAGGGGTTTTAATGAGATGATTCAATGGAGAACCTTTGGAATGCCTTTGAGAAAAACTGTGTAAATACAGGAAATCAAAACACAAGGATAAACCGGAAGTGAGAGAGTGTGGTAGGGCTGTCAAGTTCTGGTTCCGTCACTGGAGTTGAAGGGCCCCCGTGTTGCCAGGAGCTGTGTGTTTGAGTCTGACTCTGCTCAGGAAAGAAGTTGCAGATGGAGGCGGGCAGCATGGCTGGGAGAGGCTCAAATGCCTGCAGGGCCCAGGAAGCCTCCCCTCAGAGCACCTGCCTGCGCCTCCTCACCCATCATAGTTTGTGTATAAACCGTCTCAATGAGCTTCAGAAAAAATTGCATCATAGTTTGAAACAAAGGGAGCTATGAAGTCTAGGAAAAGTCGTCCTTTATATGTTGCAATAGATATTTAGATTTGTAAATATACATAAATGACTAATATACACAACATACTAGTTTACTCCAGTGTGAGTTAGGTGTTAAACACAAGTGACGCTTTCAGTAGTGAAATATTTTAAGCCAACTGGAAGTTCACTACTAAAAACATCAACTGAATGGGATCACACAAAAAAAGAAGAATGAGGACTTTGCAAAGCCTGGAATGGTGAGCTGCAGATGGACTCCTTTGGATGGAGAATGTTAAAGAAAATGCAAAATAAAAATGATGGCTGGGGTCAGGGGATGATGCTTGTATGATTGTGCAGGTTTTTAAATTACACAGTGGGAAAATAGAATTTGGAAAAACACTGTTTGCCATTTGAGATCTCAGAACGCACCCAGAGAAGCCTCTGAGAAATCCCCACCAATAAGCATGGGACCAGCAGTGGGACAGGCAGAGAGCCTCACAGAAGGCGTGGGAAGAGAAGGAAGCTGAGCTGGTGGGGGAAGGAGACATGTAAATGGCCCGAAGTAATTTGGTGAGAGGAAGAGATAAACAAGGGGCCTAAAGCCCTGGGAAGGCAGAGAAGGAAAGCCTCAGTCACTCCTAACACCGTGGCTTCGAGTGTCACACAAAGCCCCTTATCTTCCTCTGGCCTGATGTTATCGCACCTTTAAAATGGTAAATCATTTATATAACATTTGCTGATTCACAGAATGAAGGCACTGAGAATTAGCATGAGGATGGGGGGGCAGTTAGGGGGCACAAGCTTCAGGAGTGTGGATTTCTTTTGTCACCTGGCGTAATCTTATCTCTGGGGCTTGTCATGGGGAGGTGTAGAGGCAGGGAAGGGGCCGGAACTGGAGCTGGGGGGAGGGAGCTGGCAAGGAAGGCAGAGGGCTGTTCTTGTTTTTCTGGGCTGGGGGTGTGTGTGTGTGCGTGTGTGTGTGTCCCTGTGAGCCTCCAGGGCAAATGACTCTGGCTTTCCAGGGGGAGAATTTTCATGAAGCCTTATCTCTTGGCAAGTCGACTGTTGGAACTTCACTCTGCACACTGTAACAGGGGGAGGAGGAGCCTGGAATCTTAGGTGATGTCTTAAACGGAAGAGAGGCTCTGACAATAGGAAAGACTGAGAGCAACCAAGAAGTTCCCTGTGTTCAACTCCAGCCAAGATGAGCTTTCTTGTCCATCAGCATCTACAGCAAAGAAACTGCTTTTAAAAATCCATTATTTCCTAGCCTGTTTCAGACATGCTGGATGCAATCAGTGGCATTTTATTGGGGGCTACGAATTAAAGAGAGCTTCCATCTCTTGTACTTATTTGTTGCAAATTTAGTTGCTATGGGTTTAATGCATTGTGTTCTCTTATGATTCCAGATAAACTAGAATTGGACCTTGTTTTTGTGTTTGGATTATTTACCAATTTAACAGTGGGGCGTTGTATACCAACTTTAGCGACTCTAAGGTTGGTAAGTTCTGATAACCTATTGCCATGGGCCTTGGTTTTCAAGACTGGAACCAGTGGCTTTAGTTATTCCTCAACTTTGTACGAAGGTATTGACAGACACTATTTCCCACCCCTGCCCCCTCCCCTCCTCGTATTTCTCGTGCCCCCCGCAGGAATCCAGTCTGCGTTAAGGCCCAGGGTGCAGGGACTGTGATGGAGCGCTGTTGCCATCTAGTGGCAACACTGGAGAAGCGCACTAGATGCCTCGCCTCGGCTGGTGTGAAAGCCCGGGCGGTTTCACACCAGCAAGGTGGTGAGATGTGTTTGCCAGGCGGAGTCCTTGAGCCTTAGGACTAAGCATTTGCAAGCCAAGAGGTTTCCCAGCAGATGTGGAGTGGCAATACACCGCATGGGCTTTACTGCTGGGTCCATAGCGTGACTGCAGCTCATGAGGGAGAGAGAGCAGCTGAATGCCACGGTGGGAAACCGGGGTGTGTTTTGGTGGGCCTGTTCCCCTGCGGAGGGCCAAAAAGCCCTCGATGAACTTCGTTTTCCTTGCTTTGTGCTTTGGTTCTCTCCAGCCCCAAATCCAAATGTACCCAGAGGCAAGGGAGGCCCAAAAAAGCTGAAAATGTGTGTGCGGCGCACGGCTCTGCTGACAGAGCTGAGGGCTGTGCTTGGCCAGCGTGGCTCACATTATCTCCAAAATTAATTTTGAACGCTGTGTTGCCCCTCCTTAAAGAAGACCCCCTAAACCAAGCTGTTCCTTTGTTGCTCCACGGTAAACTTGGGTAGTGGGGGCAGGGAGAGAAGAGGTTGGGAAGGCGGAGGACGGTCAGGGGAGGGCCAAGCTCCTGTGGTCTGCAAGGTGCAGGCTGGCACTCGAGAAGGGAGGTGGGAAGGAGAGCCCCGAGGAGCAGTCTCAGGCCCAGTGATTTCAGGGAAGAGTGCGTGGGAGCTAGGAGCTGAGTTTCCCAAAGCGATCCGCACCCAGGCAGCTGCTGGAGAGTCTGTGTGAGGCACGTGGCCCCCAGGGTCCAGATTCTCACTGAGAGAGGAAGGGGCCATGGCCACCTCACCCTATGCAGTGCTGCGCTTCTGAACTGGAAGCAGACCCGGGGTGCTGGGACCTGCTTTGGGGAAGGCAGGCGCCTGCTGGGGCCCAGGAGCAGCCGCCCACCCTGGCCTGGTGCACCCCGGCCAGCATGGCCCCACGGCCATCCTGAGGGGCAGCCCTGGGCTGATGGGGCCCCTAGGGATACCCAGTCTGCTGGCAGACATTTTCCGACCATCCTGGTGGCCTTAGATGTGGGTGTGTCGCCTAAAAATACAGCCTGTGGAGATACCTCAACTGTGGTTCCCACGAGGGGGCATGATGGTTGAAATTAACTGATAAAACAAAATGTTTGTAACTGTCTCCGACGATTCCTGGGAATTACAGAAAGCTCACCTTCGTCTCTCTTAGTCATTGGTTCGTTCGACACAGAATCCTCAGTAAAGCAGCTAGGACTGCGCGCTATTGCGTCTGCCTGACTAGGCCCCCGGGACCAGCTTGGACCCTCCCTTTCCTCCTCTGCTTTGTTGCCACACAAGACACAGGTGCGGGGACACTGTCGCCCGCCTGCGCACGGCTGGAGAGCAGGGAGGGCTTGCAGGGGGCGGTGAGGTTGAAGGAAATTTCAGCATGGACGGGGAGGAGGAGCACGGCTGGGCTTTTGGTGCAGTGTGTTTAGGCTGTGCATTTTGGATGTTAATTTCTAAGTCCTGAGCCTGCCTCAGTTGTCACCACCAGTTATGGTGAGGGCGCTGCGGCCCACACTGTTCCACCGCAGCTGGTGGCTACCTACGTGTCTCACCCAGCGTCCTGCCAGGCTGGGGCTCTTCCAGAGACCAACTTCAACTGCGAGGTGCCTGCGCCTCCCTCCTCCCTTTGCCCGTGGTCCTGAGGGGCCCAAGTCATCACGAAATGCCTGCATCCCGGTGGGAAAAAGGGCCTGCAGGGTGCGTCCCCGGGGCAGGGCCGAGACACGCTGGGTGCTGGGAGGGGCGTGGTGGGGGATGTGGGATCTCCCGCAGTCGCTGCCTGCCCGGGTACTGCCTCACTGCAGTTATATAAAAAGCCTTTATGGGCTGGGGCGAGTGTGTAATTTGTTCTGGAAGAACATAAAGTTCATTGTTTTCCCTCGGCTGCGGGTCACTCCGCTCAATCTGTGCCACAAGCGCTCACAGCCTCGTCTCCTCCCCAGGCAAATTTTCCACGGGCTTCCAAGAGGCAGGTTTTGGACAACAGAATTCTAGCCCTTTAGGAACGAAAGAGAAACCAGAGCTTTCTCTCCGTGCCACGGATGGGAGGCGGGTGTTCTGTCGAAGCCCACCCTTGACACGTTGCCTGTTTCCCGGGCCATTGGAATGGGGGCTC